CGAACTGTGCAAGACATCCTTCCGCTTCACCAAACTATACCACCCCGGCATGCCGAATCGCATACCCACGACCGTCTTCGTACGCCGCGCCGCTCTGCACGTCCTCAACATGTTCGCAACCTGGTGCCGCGGGGTCCTGGTGGGCGCCGTGTGGCTCTTCCTACTGCCCTGGTGCATGCGCGTTGTATGGCGCAGCCTGTTCTGGGTCGGCGATGGTGGCTGGTCACAAGACATGTTTGCCGACACACCTGAGACGTCAGTAATGCCCGCGACCGGTAGAGGACTGGCCCCTAGCGATATCGACTTGATACGCTCCGCACTCGATACCGCCAAGAGCAACAACTCGACTGTGCATGTGGCAAGTACCGTCGGGCCCATGAAGATAACGTATACTCCAAACAATTCCACGACTAGCGAATCCATCCTCTGGACCTATGCCAAACGAGTCTTCTTCGGGGTCCCGTTCCCCTTTTCCCAGCTTGCACAACCCGACAGAATAACTACTCACGTATCTGTCGTTGACAAGAACGGCACCGTTTCCAATACTACCTCAGACCATCTCGGTATTCGCAGTCCGTCGCTTCTCTCCGATGTCCCCTTCTTCAACTGGTTCCAGTCTCAAAGCGCCAATCGCTTTATTGTTGACGTGATAGAGGGCCAGATCATCACTCTACTCGTTGTCGTGGCGTTCATCCTTGTCTTCCTGATTCGAGAGTGGGTGGTCCAGCAACAACCTGTCATCAATATGGTTGCCCTCGGTGACAATGTTGCTGCGCAGAGGGCTGCCATTATAGAAGAGGAGGCTCTCGTTGACAACGTGGTCGTTGACGAGGGCGAGCTGGAAGACGCTCTAGATGCTTTGGATGCTGAAGTGGCTGGGGAGGCCGCGGATGTGGAAGAAGCTCATGAACCTGAAAATGCTGACCAAAACGAGCCAATTGCCCCTGGAGACTTCACTCGCGAAAATGATGAGCCCGAGGCTGCTGAACCTACGATACGCCGCGTTCGCCGGTCTTCCTCGCTCCGCCGAGAACGCGACGAGCTTGTTCGCAACATAGTACGCGAAGGCCTCTCGGGTGATTTGAGGTCAATGATGCAATCGGATGAGCTCGTGGATGCCTATGACGATGGATTTCCATCCCAGAGCTTTAACGAGGCTATCGAGCGGGCAATGATGGAAGACGGCGAGGCTAGCAGCTCAAGCTTTCCTGCAAGAACCTCGTCACTCCACCAACCTTCAGGCGTAGCGCCAGATCTTGAAGGTTCCGAGTCGTCTTCATCTTCGCACAGACCAAACATGCCAGCACGCGATAGATCCTTCATCGCGACAGAGATTCGTCGCGGCCTAGAAGAGGGTAATACATGGTCTTTCGAGAACGTACCACAATCGTCAGCTTCGAACGAGGAAAGTCCTGAAAACGTACCTGAATCGTGGGAAGACGATGACAACGCAGACCGAAGAGCCGATCAAGGACCCGAGGCTGCATCGGATCACGAACCGGGTAGCGAGCACAGCAGTGGAAGCTGGCAGCAAGTCCCTGAGGCTGTAGAAGATGACTCCGACCAAGCGCTGGAAGGAGAACATGTTCACGACAAGGGTAAAGCTAAGGCTGTCGACGCCAGTGTGGAGGATAATCTACCCGAGTCAACGTCTTCTGCACAAAGCAGTTCTACTCATCTAGACAACTCAATTACGGTCGATACTACGATTGAAGTCGACAACAGCAGTAGCCAGCCTGACCAAGACTCAACCGCCCGCGAAGATCAGGAGCATTCTGAAGTGGGTCAGCAAGACCCGGACGATCAGCCTGCGGTTCCAGCCAACGCACAACCAGCAGCGCCTCAACCTCCACAAAATCCAGTGAACCAAGTATTGGACTGGATGTTTGGAGACATAGCCCCGATGGCTCAACCTGTCGAAGAGGGAGGCAACGATGAGCATATCGTGCGCGATCTGGCAGACGAAGCGCCTTTTGTGCCCTTCTTAGGGAACGAGCCGCGGGATCATGGCAATGCTGCGCCCCAAGATCCTGAAGTTGCTGCTGCTGCTGCACAAGCTGGCATAGATGTTAACGACCAGGAAGCGATTGAAGACGCTGAAGACCTGGAAGGTATACTTGAGCTCATTGGTATGCAAGGGCCTATTGTCGGTCTTTTCCAGAACGCCCTGTTCAGTGCCGTGCTGATCACCTGCACATTGGCGTGCGCTGTATGGGTTCCTTATCTCTGGGGTAAGTTCGTCATAATAATGGTGGGAAGTCCTATCGAACTCCTCAAAATCCCTCTACAGGCGGTCGCTGCAGTAACGGACTTCATAGTCGACGTCACGCTCTTCCTCGTAGCTGGTACGACGTACTGGAGTTCTTATGCCATCTCCAGTCTGGTCAAGCTGTGTTCCTTGGGGAAACTGTCTCAAACCATAGATGGTCCACTGCGTGCAGTATCTACGCCAGCATACTCCCTTGCAGAGAGTGCGATGGTTCGCATTGGCAAGATGTTCATGGATTCGCCATTATCGTCTCAGCCCAGCTACACCCAATTCACGCTCAACGCACACGCTTCACTACGAAGCCTGCAGAACACGACCTCATTTGCGCTCAATGAAACGAGCAGCTTTGCAAACGCCATCATCGAGGAAATCTCAGCAGACTCGCCGCCCAAGCTTGTGCTGAGGGTCCTTGGACGCCTTCCCTCGTTAATTCAAGATATCTTTACGACTACCTACGGCCAGTGCAGTTCTCTGCTCTCATGGCTTTGGACGGCCAAGTCGTACAAGATCACCATTGATCTAGACTCGAATAGCAGCACCGCTGCAGCATATACTGCATTGGAGCGATGGACGGCGAGCGACCGCCTGATCGCAATACTTGCTGGCTATGGGTTCTTCGCTTTCCTTGGTGCGATATATCTCAGGCGTGGCACACCTTTCAGCTCGTCACAGCAAGGACAAAGGATCGAACGCATTCTTTCTGATATACTACAACAAGCCGGAGGTGTGCTCAAGGTGATCCTTATCATTAGTATCGAGATGTTGGCATTTCCACTGTACTGCGGGCTGCTTCTCGACTTGGCCATGCTCCCACTATTCCAGAACGCTACGCTGTACAACAGGTGGCAGTTCGCGAGAGAGAGTCCATGGACATCTGGATTCGTGCATTGGTTCATCGGTACCTGCTACATGTTCCACTTCGCGCTCTTTGTGTCCATGTGCCGCAAGATTATGCGCAAGGGTGTGCTGTACTTCATCCGCGATCCAGATGATCCGACCTTCCATCCTGTCCGGGACGTCCTGGAGCGTAGCGTTACGACTCAACTTCGCAAGATCGCCTTCAGCGCTCTTGTGTATGGAGCACTCGTTATTGTATGCCTTGGCGGTGTCGTATGGACCTTGAGTCGTGCTACTACCAACGTCCTGCCAATTCACTGGACTACCGAAGCACCATCGCTGGAGTTTCCGCTCGACCTTCTCTTTTACAACTTCCTCACGCCGGTCATCATCAAGTTCTACAAGCCTAGTGAGGGTCTGCATGCCATCTACAAATGGTGCTTCCAGAAGTGCGCTGGGTTCCTTCGCCTGTCCAACTTCCTCTTTGGCGACAAGGTCCCTGCGCAAGAAGGCGATGATGGTCGATACGTTCGTGCACCCGCTTCCGATCAAGCTCGCATCCCCAAGGGCCAACCTGTCTTCGTCGAAGTCGACCGCGACAACGTGCGCAAAGATGGAGAGAATGAGGGCGGAGTGCACAACTCTGACCTCGTGTCAATGGTATTCATCCCACCATGGTTCCGCGTGCGCATTCTCTGCTTCATCGTCACGATATGGATCTTCATGGGTCTATCAGGAGTGAGCGTAACAATCCTACCACTACTCTTTGGCCGCCACCTCTTCTCGCTCTTCCTCCCGCCAACCGTCGAGATGAACGACATACACGCCTTCTCCCTCGGCGTCTACACTCTGGCCAGCATCGGTTACTCCGCCTACCACGTTTTCAAATTCATCTCCTCGCTCAACCGATCCATCCCAGATCCCATGTCAACACTCCACACCATCGCAGCAACCACCTCGCGCGTCGGTGGCCGAGCCCTCCGCTTCTCATACGTCTGGGCAACCCTCATCTTCGCCATCCCCTTCCTCTTCGCCGTCCTCCTAGAACTTTACTTCCTCATGCCCCTGCACGCCTACCTCGGCCCCAAGGAACCCCACGTCGTCCATGTAATCCAAGACTGGACCCTCGGCTTCTTGTACTCTCGCCTCGCCGCGCGCCTCGTCTTCGCGAACCGCAATTCCCGGCCTGCACGTGCATTCAAAGCTGTTATCAGAGATGGCTGGCTCTACCCCAACGCCAAGATCGCGACACGCTGTTTCCTCATCCCCGTGCTGGCGCTCTTCCTCATCGCTATTGCCGTGCCATCCAGTCTGGCGTTTGTCACGAGTCGAACGCTATACCGGAATGCGAACGAAGCGACGAAGAACTTGCTCTGGCGCTTCAGCTTCCCGGCTGTGGGACTTGCTTTGGTGGTTATGTGGGCTTCCTCGGCGGTTGTCAGGCTGCTCGTGAGATGGAGGCTGGTCGTTAGGGATGAGGTTTATCTTATAGGAGAGAGGTTGCACAACTTTGGGGAGAGGAAAGCGCCCGTTCAGCCTGCGTCTGCTGCCGCTCCTGCGGTGGGTGTTGAGGGTGTTGATGTGGGCACGCAGACTGCTTAGTTTCGCTGGGTCGTCGGTTGGTGTTGTGTTGTTTTGCGTGTAAGAGTGGAGTTGCTGCATATCTTTTTCATTATGCATTTGCTTTCACTGGGTGGATTAGAAGACATGTCAGTCGTTTTGTCAGCGGGCTAGCCAGATAGCCAGTTAGCATGAATCTCACGCTGCTCATCCTTGTTACATTCATCTACACTACTGACCTGTGAACTTGGTCTTTTGTTGCTTGGTCTATCGACTAACGTCGTGATCAACTACGCATGATGTGAAGCCACTCCGCCGTTGTACAAACTCCCTTCTAGCACGGATCAACGTCCGAAGCCTTCGACTGCCAACCACCCTCAGCCACAAGAACCTCTCCAAGAACTCTGCTAACCCGAAGAAGATGCCCGTCGCGCTCTCTACCCGCAATGAGAGAAACACCAACGGGCATGCCGTTCATCCCCTTGAAAGCAGATATATGCACCACTGGCACATGCAGACCCTGGATAAAGTCAAACTCGTACTTATCCACCATCTTTGACAAGTCAACTTACCGTCCACAGCGTACTGAAAACCGGACTCCCCATATCGTTAAGCCCCACCGGCGCCTCATCTACAGCACTTGGCGCGATGATGACAGAATACTTGGTCGCTATCGTGTCGAATAGTGTACGTAGATGCGTGTGCTTTTCCAGTGCTTCGCTTTTCTCTTTTTCTGCATCAGCGTGTTTGGAGTGGTTTTCTACTAGATTCCGAATTGAGACGTCCAAACCATCCTTGTGTAGACGGTATTCTTCGTGGAAAGCGAGGGCGGCCTCAGCGTCGATAATTGCGTTTTGTAAGCGCGTTGAAGTGTCTGCATCACCGAAGTCATCCGGTAGTGACACTTCTTCGACTTGGACGCCGTGGTTCTGCAGTATCGCGGCTGTTTTTTGCATGACATGTATAGTACCAGGGCCGGCATGTGACCACATGGGTGTCTTGACAAGAGCGACTGAGATATCATCCAAGCATACCTTTCTTGGGTGCTCGTCGTCAGCGAGGGAAAAGACATCTGCTAGTAACTCCAGATCCGCTATGCTGCGAGCAAAGAAGCCGATAGTATCGAATGTCGAGGAGACTATCTTTTGCCCCGAGGTTGAGATGGCGTTGTACGTGGGTTTCATAGCGAATGTCCCACAGTAGGCTGCTGGTCGGATGACGCTTCCGCCTGTCTGGACGCCCAAGGCAAGCGGGATTTGCATATCGGCTACGGCGGCGGCGGACCCGTATGAGGAGCCGCCTGGGGTTCGAGATGGGTCGTGGGGATTGGTGGTCGGAGGTCCGGAATTTGTTATTGTGAATTCAGTTGTCGTTGTTTTGCCTGTGGGAGACGTCAACAATCATTCATAGGGAAGGGGAATTGACAGACCGAAGATTAAAGCTCCTGCAGCTTGCAGAATGGCAACAGCCGATGAGTCGAAGCTAGACTGATGTCCCTCGTATATTGGAGAGCCGTATTGGGTGGGCATATCTGGGGCTTGTCAACATCTGGCATGCAAAAGACTTTGCCTTATGACCTTTCGTGTTCATCACATCTTTGATACCTATCGTCACTCCATGCAGCGGTCCTCTCTGATTTTGTGGCACATGATCAAGTTCTCGAGTTCGGCGTAGAACAAGCTCTTGATCTGGCGTTTGCTCAGGTGAAGTGCTTTATATGCGCAGAGCAAGACTCACCGAGATGGGCCCATGCCTTGACAATATGGTCCCGGTCGCGGATGCGGTCGAGAACAGATTGCGCATAGGCCTCGACTGTGATGGTATTGGTTTTGAGCAGTTCCAGTACTTGCACTGCTGTCAGAGTGTATAATGCAGGTGGTGTTGACATGTTTGGTGAATCTTGGGAAGGAGCAGCCTGGAGAGGTAGGGCATAGAAACATGGATGAGTATATGCGAGAGCATGCATGGCCGATCTGCATGCAAGGGGATGCCTAACTCGCTAATGATGCATATTGATATCTGCACGCATGGGACGCAAGCTGCCGGTACAGATTTGAGAAGTTTGTATTGATTTCCTCCCATAGCGCCGTATCTGATGCAAATTGTACAGTAATACATGGTATACACACGTGCCACCGTCGTTCCCGGTGAAGTCCGTCTAGAAACCCGGAGGGTTGAGTCGTTGACTGACTCTCGTCCATTTTGGCACCTCTGTGAAATGTCAGCGACCGCAACTTCAGAGTGTACCCTGCCACGCGTAGTCCTGATTCTCCTTCTGCCGCCACCAAGCTTTGCCCCGAAAACACTAGAAGTATGCAACTTACTGTGTATTCCCTTTCGATACCTCTTCACCTTACGGTCGAAGACGGTGTACTTGTCCTTGGGCAGCATCTCCGCCTCGGTCGGCATCTCCATCTTCCAGCGCTCCACCTTCTTCATGCTCTGTCCCATGCGTCGTAGTGCGGTATCGATTGTGCCGACCACAGTGTCAACGTGCCGTAGGCGCTCGCGCTGCCTGTACTTCTGATGTCTGGATAGCCGCCATGGTATCTTCCTATGAATTTGTCAGCACGGGCTGCCAGATATCGAGTCGCAACTGATAGAAGGTGCATCGGAGCGGGAATTGTGATGGCGACGACGAGCAATTGCGCACGAGTGACAGTTCGGGAAACGCAGGGAGTCGCACCATAATAGACCGCCCGATAGCGGGTTTGTGAGGCGGAAAGGACCAAACATGGTGAGGTGCTGGGGTTGGCGATGCTGGGTTGCGCAATCGAAGTCGCGATATTCTTCGAAAGGCACTCCCGCGGACTTTCTTGGCAGACATGCCGATTAGCGTGGGGAAGCTCACCAGCACACCCCACACGTTGTACAGCTAAACACTAAGCTATATTTACGACGATACGAATTACGAATCCCGACGCAGTTATTTTCGACATCAGTGAAAGCAAAAAGCCTGTACTAGGCTAGATCACGCATCCCAACCTGGACCACGCGGCGCACGCCAAACACTCCACACGTCTACCGACGTACAACCTCATACCTCACCATGTCGTACACATTCTCCATCCTATCGCCTCTCGATGTCCCCCTCTTCACGCACGACTTCGGCACCTCACGTAGCGGCGGCACTGGCGTCGCGAACTATACCCCCGCCGAGCGCGCCCTTGTCCCGTTCATTCTACACTCGTCTCTCGATATAGTCGAGGAAGTACAATGGGGCCCTTCTACATCCAGTGGCTCCGCACCTATGTACCTTAAGCATATCGACAAATACCAGAACTGCTTCGTGTCGTGCTGGATTACCGGCGGCAACACACGCTTCCTTCTGCTCACAAGACCGCGGGACGAAAGCCTGGGGCTGACGAGTGGAGGTGCTGGAGGCGCGAGAGGAAGTCTAGCAGGTGGAAGAGCTGCTCTGGGAGGAGGTGCTGGTCTATACAACCCCAGCAGTCCAGCCACGGAAGAAGCTGTCAAGAACTTCATGGTCGACGTATACGAGGCATGGGTCAAGACTATTATGAATCCCTTCTTTGCCGTGGGCAATGGAGAAGTCATCAAGAGCCCAGTGTTTAGGCAGAGAGTTGCGACTGCCGCGAAGAAATATCTATGAAGGGAGAGAAAGCATCACGGAATCACCGATTCAAGAATGGAGACGACCACAGGCCGAGGACACATTTTATACCCGGGTGCACGGTGAATGGCACAAGAGCAGTCTAGATTATTGCGATCTGATTGGAGAGTATCGGCAAGATAACTGCTGAAAGGTCTCACTTCCACTTCGCAGCGACGCAAATCTGAGACAAGGCAGCAACGGAAGCCTTCGAGCTAGTTGCGAGCCTTTGCACTGAGCAGGTGTATGGCTACTCATGCCCGCGAGGCTATTAGACCTAGCCGAAGTCGACCTCGCGCTTTGTATGGGTCATGATAATTGGGAACAGGAGGATCGATATCCTGAGAGTCGATGCGATGGAGTCTCTGTCGCGCACGCATCTTTTGATAAGCACTGTACTGGACTAATAGATTGCATTGGGCTTGCACGCAGCCAATCCCTCTCTATATAGCATCCTAGGTCACAAACAGCTACTAGGTCAAAAGTGGATACTCGTCGTTTGCGTCTCGGCCTTCCGTTTACCTATTATTCAAGGCACCCTACCTGCAAGCCTAAGCCATGAACATAGAGGTCTTACCTTACTTACGCATCCTCAAAACTGTGGTCACCATGAGTTGTGCCTTTACCTTGGTCCCGTTTGTAATCGCGCAGATCTCTCACTCACCTTCACCTTGTCCAAGCTGGTATATCACCACTCCATCTACCCACCTTCTCCCGCTGGCAACGAAATCTCTTACCTCACAGTATTTAATATCTTTGCCTTGACTTCAGCGCGTTGCGACTCTCAGCATGGCATCGAAACCCCCCGAGGTCAGTGCTGCAGACAAACAGTGGCTCACTTTCCGACAAAAGCACGAAGCTGAACTTAAGGGCTTCCAACGGTACGCGACGGAGTCTTTTGCCAAGTTTCAGGACAACGTCAACAAGGAGCGAGCAATTATTCTCGCAAAACACCAGAAAGAAGAGGAAGATTTCTGGAGCAAGGCAAAGGCGGCAGCTAATAGGGAGAAGGAAAAGGTTGGTAACACGGCTACCGGGCCTAAGACGGGTGTGCAGAGTCAAGCAAATCGTCGGGTAGCTGCTGCACCACCGAGAGCTGCTCCCACCATCAAGAAGACGCCGGCGCCGAGGCCCAAAGCACCATCCATATCTAAGCCAGCCAGCAACGCAAACACACCGGTAGCAGGACCCAGGAACAAAAAGGCCGCCGTCACGATCATTGATCTTTGCTCCGACGAGGATGATGATGAACCAGTGTTGGTAAAGGAGAAGCCTATTTTCAAGATAGCTGGGCAAGGACCTGTCGCGAAAGACCCTCTCAGCTTGTCTGACAAGATCGGAAACGTGGTAAGTCGGCAAATGGCAAAAGCATTCCTTTCCCAAGACTGATTGATATAGGACACGCCAAAGCCAGAGCAGTTGAACCATGAGCGTCATGGCTTTACTCAGCAACCCTCGTACCCATCTACACAACCGCCGGCACTATGTACAAGTAACAGTAATACTTCCAGTGTGCACGTCTCGAACTCCGTCGCCTCTCAGCATGCGCCAGCAGCTGTCCTCAGTACACAGCCGAACCTGGTTGGGGGCGTGGGTTTTGGCAACTGGGCAAATGTGCCTCGCATGTCAGATGCCCGTCAAGGAACAGTACTCAATGTTGGAGGTAGACCATTATCGGCTTCCTCTCCGTGGGCTACCCCCACAGTTTCTGCTTCACAACGCCTACAGTCGACGAGCGGTTTCGCTTCTTCGAGGCTCTCTCAAGCCCACCAGCCAGACAACTTTCAATCGCAACAAAGTATAGGCTACCAATCAGGCCAGTTATCAATGTTCCGGGAGTCAGCTTTCCATGGCCTTCCTCGAGACGACCACGGAGCTTTGCGAAGTGCAGGCCATGCTTACTATTTAAATGGCTCAATCGAGTCTTCGCAAGACCTTGGACGTAGAGACAGGTTTGGTCCTGACTCTGTCCCGGATCATGCAACCAAAAACTTGGAGAGCGACCTTCGTAGATCGGTTTCGAATGGTATGGACACGATGATGCATGAAGCTCCGCGTAGTAAGCTTGCTGTCTTCGATCTTGTAGTGACTGAACTAACGTGTACATAGCTCCAACAAGACCACAGCAACACACTCCAAACATGCTTCCATCACCTCAAGATACTGGTCTCGTATCCACTCAAGAGAGCCCTCGCACCCCAACCGCAGAGCCACTTACCCCTACCACTCCTAAGACTCCCGGCTTCAGAAGGCCATTCCTCCCAGCCAGTGCCACCAAAGATAGTATTGCGGTTGCTAGGGGTGTTCGGGCTGGGTCGCAGGTATCTACTTCTACGCCTACTAATCGCGCCTCGAGTGTTTCGCAAAGTCAACGCGATGCGTCAGTCGTATCGCATACTTCTTTCTCTTCCCGTTCAGGCAGAGGCAAGCGGAAGGTGGTGGATCTCAGCAGCGATGAGGAGAGTGACTATGCCCCGCCGTCTGATGATGAGGAGCCTAGTTCCCCTGTCATGATGGACGATGCTCCTGAGCCTGTAAAGAAGCAGACATCTAGGCCGGCGACCAAGAAGGCTAAACTTCCTCCGCCACTACCACCAGCTCTTGCCTCAAAAGGTGTGTATAACAAGGGAAAAAATGGCTTTGGCTTCACGAGCTTGCAAAAATCGAAACCCAAGGTCAACAGCCAAACTGATGCGGCATTACCGACCACCCCACCGCGTGTGCCCACCAGAAAGCCTCAGCCGACGACACCATCTACACCGACACCTGCGTCTCAGAAGTCCAAAATCATTACGTTAAAGACTCAAGGAGCAACCGTATCGCGCTCACCCCGAAAGGCCAAAATTGACGCGTCTGCAAAGATCACCCAACTTAGCGAAGCCGAATTAGAAACTCGGACCAGCATTGCTATCGATGAAGCGAACCAGCGCGAGAGAGAAACAGCTGAAGCTGGGATTTTCGAGCAAGTCAGAGGTGGCATGCGGGCCATGTCCATCACTCCCGCGCCTAGCACCGCTAGCAACGCTGCAGAGGACGTAGAAATGCTGGCCGACGTTTCAGATCCTGAGATCACATCCCCAAAACACGGCGCTGGATTGAGTTCATGGACAGATTCTCGCTTCAATGGTGACAGGTATCTTGCCAAGTCTCGCGCTGCTCGACCCATAGTACAAGACGACTCGGACGACTACGATGACCCGGACATCAGTAAGTACAGCGTCATCGACGGCGTTATTGTGCATGAGGCGGATCGAGAGAGACTGAGACTGACGCAAGAGCAGGAAAGGCTTATGAGATCAAGAGGGACAGACGGTGGCAGTCGCGCACGTGCAGTGACCGCAGTTGAGATGCCGGAGCATTCCCAGGGTATGGCCAGGCAGAGTGGGAGGCGCGCAAGAAAGACGATGAAGTGAGGAGCATGGAACTGGAGCCATGGGAATCAACTGAGACCTACGACTTGTACGATGTACCTCGAATGAGACTACCATGTTGCCGGAGGGTTCGGCTCTGGAGATGTTCCTTGCAGAGTAGGCAGTATCGAAGTATCTTTATCTTCGTCTACTCCCATGAAGTCGCGATATGCTTCGCACTAGCTACACTTCTATCATTCATCGAACTTTATACGGTCCTTGCTTAGCTAGCTAGTGATGACAAGAAGCTGGTACAAAGTCCCAAATGGTATTACACTTTAGCCCATCGACCATGTCAAATCTCTCTTGCGTAAAAGCCAAACGAACAGCACTCAGCTAGCCAACCCATCCACAGCTTACTCACAGTCAAAGCATCCAGATCACCAAAGACTGCAAACAGGGAGATGACGATGCGCTACATCTTATCAAAGCACCGAATCGGCCAAACAGACACACTAGTTCCGTCCCCGTTCACGCACCTGCAACCCCACTCTCCTAAGCGCATGACAGCAAACCGCCCAAACGCCTTCCCAGAACCCGAATCTCGACGCGTCTAAAAGTCTCATCTACAGTAGTATGTAGTAAACGCCCTAGCAGTTGTCAATAGTAAAAGGCAAAGCTTTTTTGCCCCGCAATGGCTAGAATACTAGCTCATTAGCTCACGCGACCAGCCAGCCTCATTCAATCATTCAACGGCGCTCCGTGCATCTAACAGAGGACGAGCTCAATCAACCATCCTGCACACGAGAAAGCCAAGACGGGGAAACGAGCATCAACGACGCAGGAAAAACGGTCGGCGGTGCTAATACTTTCAACGGTTTGGCAAGTCGCGCCGAAGATTAACGTCAACGTCAGGTTAGCTTGCGGAAGGTGGGCGTTACCAACTTGTGACTGGCTGGCTTTGGGTGCCCGGAGTTTTTTTGGAAAGTGGAGTAGCTAGCTAGTCTAGTTAGCTAGCGACATAGTTGGTTCGCGGATTAGTTAGTTCGCGCTTTTCTAGGTTGGCAGACTTGCAGTGGAGAAAGGTCTTGGGAGTTCGGTTCTTCTTGGTATTAGCAATCGGGGCGGCCGTGAGTGGATAGGATGATGACGAGAGTCTTTGATGGTGGTTGCGTAGTTGTGGAATTGGCACTGCGGAGGATTGATCTGAGATACTGCGAGACGGGACAGAAGGCGTCGATTAGAAAGTGAATTGTTGCAGGTAGAGTGCGCAGACGGAGAAAAGCATCTGTTTCACACACGAGTATACCAAGAGCCTTGGAACTGCCGTCAGCGCGAAAAGCGAACGATATGTCAGCCCATCTCTGGTTTAGTTTTGACAAGCCAACTAGGCATATCCCGCCCAGTGTGACATGCCCTCCAAGCACCATCGCTGCAACTTCGGAGAGTTTTTCTTACGTTGCTTTGGAAAGACGGAGGGAGGGAGCGAGGGGGGGCCTTTTCCGACTACTCCTAGGTTCGTAACGGTTTTACCGTTTTCGACGCCTTCGGGGGCTGGTTGGCAGCAGTTGGGTTGGTTGGGGTCCTTTCCGCGCGTACCTCGTCTCGCGTGCCACATGCCACATGCATGCATGGGTAATTTCGGTCTCCAACGGCCAGCCGTTCCGGCAATCGTGTCTAAACCACAATCAGCCGGTTCTGCCCACCACCCCCAACAACCGTCGGGTCGCGTCGCGTCGCACAACATTGCATTGCGTTGCAGTCGTGTGCCTGGCCTTCTTTGATACCCTGCCCTGTTGCGTGCGGTGCGCCCCCCCTCGCCCCTTACTACCCACACCTTACCCACCCTGAAAAGCAAATCATCCTTGTGTGCCTGAGCTGGGTAGTCAGGCACCAGGCACGCAACGCGTAGACATGAATGGTATTCAGCCACGCGAGACCAGGCTCTCCCGGCCTGTCACCTGTCCGCCTTCCGCTTTGCGAACGTATGGGGGAGGGATGTCCCTAGGGGAGAGTAGGTCGACCGAACGACTATCGACGTGATTTATTTGTCTCGGACAATATCACGTCGAGCATGCATGGAAGGGCTTGCGTGCCGTACCGCTGTGAGTAATCGTGAGTGGCTACTGAGCGGTTCGTGTGGGTTCTCTTCTCGTTCGGTGCTTTGAAGGATTGCGGGCGAACTGGTCAGCTGGCTGCATCTGGGATGCATCCTCCGGGTCTCTTTCGATGATACACAAAACGCCTCTTCCAAGGTTTCGAGGAGGGCAATTTACTCTGGACTTTTGCCGGGCAGTAAACACTCGCAAGTAATCACTTAATGTCAGAGTGCATGTTTGTTTTTGAAATGTCTATTATATGTCCAGGGTAGCAACAACTAGCCCATCTACCGAATACTCAAAAAACATGCGCAATATAAACATATCCGAAGACACAATCATAGCCGACAAGACGCCTTCCTCATGCCATAAACAGCGTCCTGAGTCATGCTTTTAGACGCTCCCTTGTCTCTTTTTACCGCAGACGCCAAAGTCCATTCGCACAAGAGAAGATCGCTCAACACGCTATAAACAGACAGGAAAGAACAGACCGAAAACCGACCGAGTATGTCGCAAGAGATCATAACTTGCCGACGGGTATCAAGACGGTGGTGAGTGGCCGAGAAGTATCGAAAAGAGAGAGAAGCAGCCATCGGCAGATGAACGACCAGTCTGAAACCCAATACAGCCATGATGAAACATGGGTGTAAGCAACAGCCGGGCCTGTCGCGAAGGATTTGGTGCCGAGTCGAAAAGGGTTGTCAACCCCGGTCGTTCGTAGGGGCTCCCTGCAAGTGCCGAGAAAGTGGGTCAACGGGGCGGCTGCCTGCAACCAGGGCATCCGTTTGGAGCATGTGGCCTGAGACTTCTTAAGGAGAGCCATCGCGCCTCGCCTTCTTGCTCTTCTCGATTCTCTCGTTCCACCGCCTCTTTCCAACGCGAGTCTCGAAATGTGGGGCTACTTGGGTCACATCTTGACCTTGGCCCATCATGCTACTTCTCATCTTGTTGCGGTAGGCATCAACTGTTGATAAGGTTAGTAAAACGTTCTTCTTCGTACCGAGCCTTTGACTTACGAGACTTTTGCAGAAACAATGTCCTTCCTGCGAAAACACGACTCTGGCTCCAGCTCATGCGGTAACCAAGATCGTTGAGCGTAATCTCCTTCGACCGCTTCGCACGAGTAAGACGCGGCTTCGGCACACGAGTCTCGCCATCCAGCGTTGGAACAGGCACAACAGTAGAGCCAGCCAGAGGGAAGCTCGGGTCGCTCTCAACATCGGGCTCGTCAGCAAAGACCTTGCTGCCACGAGGGCTGGCAGGTGGAGAGGTCATTTGCATGGCGAAATAGCTACGAGGGAATACCGAGTTGGACTTGCGGTAAGAATCAGGCATTTCCTCCATCTTGACCGTGTCGAGAGTAACTCGCACGCGAACCCTAGTTCCTCGTTGCGCATCATCTACAAGGATGAATTTGCGGCGCTTCGAGTCAGGTAAGTCGCCAAACATGGCTAGCTTTCGCTCTTCTTCGTCTTGCTCTTGCTGCTTTGAAACGGGCACACCCGCGGCGTGCGATGGAGGCGGAGGGTGGCTCAGGCTGTCGTGGATTGGCGGCATGCCGCTGGAGCCTGCGACGGAGTCGCTCGATGGGTAATTCGGGTAGAAGCTCTGAGCGGGCCGCCCGTCGGTAGGTGATGATGATTGACCGTTTGGCGCTTGGTGATGGTGAGTGTGTGATTCCCCGTATTCATTGGCTGTACACAAAGAGAGTTAGCTTGCACGTCCAAACATGTCTCTACTTCCCGTCCTGCGCTGCTGAACCAAAAACATGTGTAACTATGGGGTGGGTATATATGCAAGCATGCATGGGGCAGTGGTATCGAAGGGGTATTACATCAAGGAGTATGTAATGTACATGGAGAAAGAACGACAGAGGTATCATTTAACAGCCAACAACAATCGCGCCTTATCACATCACATCTGGTGAAACATACCGCTAACGTCATCTGGTCCTCCGTGGGGCCCTCCAGGTCCATCATGGTGATGGTGCATCTGAGGGCCGCCCATGCCCATGTTGGGTTGTCGGGGCGGTGCTGCTAATCCGGCAGAGTTAGGAACGCCAGGAGCACCTGGTCCACCTGGTCCAGCCATGTGGTTACCATGGTTAGCCGATTGGGCTTTCCTGGTGGTCATCTTGGCCATTCTGCGCACGCGTCGGCTCCTCAGTCGGGGGTCTTGGTTGCTGTTCCTCCAGCTGTCGACGGCGCGCTGAATGAGACCACGCTTTCCGCGCAGGCAAGGGTTCAATTGCGCTAGAGCCCAGCCGACGGTATTGCATTCAGTCTCGTAGTGAAGACGGTTGCCCTTGTATTGATCCTTGGCGCAGCAAGCGCGAGGGTATACGCAGTTCTCGGTCTTGAAGTCTTGCGGCAGCTCGTCAACATTGATGGACTCGACATCGCAGCGGATGGTGTACTCCATCTTAACCCTGTCGCGAGAGTACTCAAACGCGATCCATTGCACACCGTTCTGGTCTTGTCGCACAACTAGGGGAGTGGTGGCAGGAATGGGACCAGGCGCGGCATTAGGGTTGACGTTGGGTCCTCCGGGAGGGCCAGCGTGCATGTTGGGGGTGCCGACGGGAGGGCCTTGAGGCGGAGCTTGAGGCGGGCCGAGTCCTGACGGTGGCCGTTGAAGTGGCGTCTGCGACATGCGCGGCTTGGGGCTTCCCGTCATTCCAGGAGTTTGGGGATGATGCTGCTGATGTTGCTGTTGTTGCTGATGCTGCATCTGCTGGCTTTGCTGGTGGGACATGAGCAGCGATTGCGTCGCCATTGGTTGCTGTGGCGCGCTTGAAGGATGCTGCTGGTAGGGTGACTGTTGGGGAACTGGCGCCGAAGCATAGGGTGTGTAGTACATTGATTGAGGCATCTGGCTGGGCGGTTGTCCATAGATTGGCCGGCCGTGCTGGTCGTGCTGTGGAGACTGAACAGATGCTGGTGAATTTGACTGCGGGGTGTGGTATGAGATCGGAGGATATCCGCCCCTGTTCATTGTTGCGGCCGCCATGAGCTCTGGGGTTTCTGCGAATGGTTAGAATTCCATTTTGCGCCGGGGGGATATACGACGGGGGCATCCAAGTCGAGGCGTCATTAATGCGCTGGGCGCATGGACAAACGCGTGGTGATTTGTGTACACAAAAAGAAAACATACCTGAGGAGGAGTAGTTACTCGGCGCACTGTTGGTGCTGTAGGGGCTCTGGTGGTGCTGGGAGTAGTAGGGCACTTCTTGTTGCTGTTGCGGCGGTGGGGGGCCTTGGATCTGCTGAATGTAGGGCGATTGGTGCTGCGGCGGGCCCTGGGGGTTTGGGTGTTGTGGTGATGGGTAGTGGCCCTGTGCGGGACTCTGAGAAGGCACCGACTGGTGGGGAGAGTCGGGATGGTGCTGGTGTTGATGTTGTTGATGGACTACACCAGGCCTAGGGTGGTGAACAGGAAGGTGACTAGGCGGTGGCAAGCCCTGAGCCGAGTGGGGATGATGCTAAGAAGACAGCCAGTCAGTAAGGCTGCTGGGGGCAAACAAAAGATAAAAAGCAAGCGTCGACTTGACGTGCTGTGGTGGTGATCGGGCTGGGGGGTGCAAGCAAGGTGAGAGGTGGGGGTGCGGGTCGCTGTGGTTGGCTGGGCGGCTAGGGTGTAGCGACGGATGTGCAGCAGCAGCGTGGTAGGCGAGGGGCAGGGTCTGGAAAAAGACAGGACGGTAGGGTATAGTTTATAGGATGGGAAGGGCAGACTAAAGAAAGCAGGGCGGGACTTCGCAACGTTGACAACACAGAGCGGACCAGCGGTGGGAGCGGAAGGCTGCTAGGATGGCAGGGATTCCGCTGCTGGTAGGCTGCGTGACAAGAGGCTTGGACTGGCTTCAGAGGAGACAAGGAAAGCTTTGGCAAGTGCGACAGGGGAGGCGGGTTTTGGGTAGCAGGGCTGCTTGGCGGGAAGGGCATACCATGTAGGCAGAGACGCGCCGGAGCTGGGGTAACTCGTTGTGTGTGGCCGCGACGTGCAGTGGCTGCTGCAGCATGCAAAAAGCGCGAGGGTGAAGCTACCAGCGGCGGTGACGGGTTTAGGGAAGGGTTCTGCGACGCGCACGACGAAACTCCAACGGTCGAGGGTGCGGCAGGGCCGATCAAGATGGGAGCGAGCGGAGGGTAGCGAGTGTATGGGATGATGCAGGTGGTCGAGCGTGCGTGGTAGGGGGTGCAAGGAAGCAGAGGCAACTCACCATCTTTTGCGACGCTACAGGCGCCGGGTCTTCCTTATACTTGCGGGCCCTATCTGGGATTTTTGGCTGCGACATTGTTATTATTGCGCGGTGGTAGACGTCGAAGGATCCGGGCTGCGAGGGTCCGGGCGCAGCGGTGGACGAGGGTTGGGGAGCGATGCAGTAGCGTGGCCTGCGCAATTTCACGCGCAGAGCAGGTGGCGCTAGCGACGTCTAGGGAAAGGCAGCGAGGAGAGTCTGCAAAGGCGGTGGGAGGGCCGAGGGTGGAGTCGGTCGTTAAATCAACCTGGAACAGCCACCTCCCTGCTCTGCTGCACGCTCGGACGGAGCAGCTGTTTCGAGCGCCCAAGCCGCGGATGCGAAGGGGCCGGGATCAGGGATCGCCGGCGGAATAGCCCTGGTCGATGGCGATGTCGTCGCGGAGGGTGGGTGCTGCTACTGCGAGGATGGAGCTGCTGTTTGATGGAAAAGGCGCGTCGTCTTAGACTCTTCTTGCTGCCCGCTGTCGCGTCCGGTGGAGCACGTGACGGTCAGGTTTCGGCGGGTGGGGGCTTGCTGCCCAGAGCAATCGAAAAGACAGCTCTCGAGGACGAGCTAGCGGTTCCTTCGCGACGTGAGACTGATAGCAGCTGCCGTCATCGCCCATCGCGCCTGCCCGTCGCATGCTCGTCGCCCCTGCCTCGCTCGGCTAAATCCTCGACATGGCAGTCGCGACCCCGCGGTACCTCCCTCGCACCCATGGCACACCTGGCGTCTTAATCCGGCTTGCTATAGCTCGCACACGATGCCACCTGCTGCTTCTGCCATTTCATCTCGCCCAGGGCACACGGTGCTCCGCCCGCCGCTGCTCTGACGCGTCCTTCGAGTCCAATTCACCGCCGCTAGTCGACCGTTTTAGCAGTTGCACCACCCAGCCCAGCGCCCCGCCGTCTCGCACGCCATTGGACCGTGGCGCCGGTGAGCAGACGCCCAAAACGGCTCACCAGCATGTCTCTTTGTGCCCCCAACGTCGCCCGCTGTGACTGGCCGATGCACGCCCGCAGCCTCCAATCGCCATCGAGGCCTGATCGGCACCGCCATGCCTGATGCTGCCACACGGAGATGCTTCTCGGGAAACGGGTCATGGGCTGCCTGCTCAAATCGCCGCTGATCGGCCCTGGGACGTCGGGTTCGCAACCTCTGCGGAGCCATGCCACCGAGCAAACTGCTGCTTCAGGGGCCGCATCGTGGCAGGACCGCCTTCAATGCGCCAGTCAGCCCTGCCATCCAATTGCTGCTGTGGCTATTCCCAGTGAAATTGCCCTCATGCTCAACGCGAGCAACACGCGTCGATAAACTCCGCTACAACATCCGGGCGAATAGCCGCTTAGCCCATCGCGATAGCAATACACGCCTGCAGCCGTCTCGGTGCATTTGCTCCATCGCTTCCGGCGTCAATTCAATGCTGTAATGCCGTGCCCTTCTCGGACGTCTCAAGCCTGCTTCTGCGCGCTTGTCCTCACGTATCACATGCGCACTGAAACACGAGACGCGACCAACACAAATATTCTTGTTCTGTTCGGCATGTCTCGCTGCCAGGCTTCGAGAAGATCGCGTTGGAAACAGCGCGCCGTTCCATGTTGTGAGCATTACCCTCCCTGTCACGATGATCGTGGCATGGGACCTGGGCTTGTAAAAGTTCCGAGCGAGGCGTTCGCAGTGCGGAGAAACCCTGGGAGCACGCTTGCTGGCCTTGTTCACGACAAGGGAGATAGGTCAGGTACCGAGCGACCATCAACTCTATTCTGACGCCGCCCGCTACATTTCGATACAACACAACACTTGGTGACTACCTCCGCCGCCCAACTCGCGACGCACAAGGGCGCGCGCATTCACTCTCCCACCGTCAGCATGCGCATCCACTGCGGATTTGGCAATTCAAAATCTTCACTGCCAACTTTGTGCAAGCCGAACTCCTCCTGAACACCCTCAGGCGGCGCCTCTTCACGCTTTGACGATTAGCCACGCTTGCACTAGTTGCACAAGATGTGGACATAGCCATGTCGATCTTGTCAGCGAAAACGATGCCGTGTTACATCGGGTTGCTCTTCTCACTCCACCCATATGTAATGATTAGCTGTGTGTCTCCGCAACGTGGTGCAAACACGGCTGACGGCGACGTGCATGACGGCCAAGGTCAGCTGGGGTGGCTCGTCGACATTCTCGCGCGTCGCCCGCCGCCAGGTTCTACAACAGCCTCCAACTCCGTTCGTGGTGTCGCTTCCATGATAACCGTTAAACAAGAACGCTCTGTTACGCCCAATATCGCGAGGGCGTCATGGTTGTTGCCTTCGCGTACGGTTATTTGGTTGACAGGCCATCGTTTTGGCCAACCACATTTTGCACACCGTTGTCCGCTCGCGGGAAGCAGGGATACATGCCTGGGCATCAACGGTCGACGATCACAAGGGACAAGGTGCGCGACGCTACCGTACATGGATCCGACTCGTCCCGCAAGTCTCTCGCCCACCACCAGCATTGCACACTGGATCATGCTGCACACCACCGCTACCACTACCGCATACCCCCGATTCGTGATTTCGCGCGTGGAAATAACGTCACATAAAGCTACCATGATATGCGCAGTGCGGTCGCAGGCCCCGATGGTTCATCTACCGAAGGTTCTCTGCTTATTGACTGACCGGGGAGCGATCGGCAGGTGAGCCCCATCACATCGAGCATTTTGACATTATCAAGTTTTCTCCGCTCGCGGCAGCTGTCGTGTGGAATAGGCTAGGCAGCTCTGATGGGCCTAGGCCTGCATTTGCTTATTGCAACTCTATCGGCAGATATCAGTCACATCCAAAGAAGCGATGCAGGAATGTCTATCAGATTGTGCGATAAGATCTTGATGCTGGTGATGCGAGCTCCAGTCACCCACCCGGTTGGAAGATCTCCAGGCCCCCTCGACCTTGCTTCCCGCATCCCTTGAGGGTCGTGGTGCAGCTTGGGTGTCTATCCGACATCTGTTTCCCGGGGTATATCATGAGTGGGCTCCAGGCAAGCATTGTGCCGAACACGAGTACGCGCCCAAGATGCCGCAGTGCCACAAGTTTCGCAATTTGGGAGTGAAGGACTAGACCTTCTCGTCCTGCTTTGAAATCGCTATTTCTCCAGCCGAGCCTTCACTTGCGAACGTTACTGCATAAGCGGCATTTCTGACAGGCGACAGCTTTGTGCTCATTGGCTCAATGAGTACTCTCCTTCTGCCGGCTTTAATCATGAGACGGAGTGATCCGTGCCATCCCAGTCGATATCATCGAGCTGCAACAAGGTCCGGCCGGTCTCCCGTCTTTTCCCTGTT